CTCAGCATGGGGGAACGGGGGGCGGGGGGCGGAGGCGCCTCAGGGCCGGCTGCGGGCCTGGCCTGCACCGCGGTCCCGCCCCCGCCGCCCCGTGTTCCCGGAAGCGGAAACCAACCCGACTCGGCCGCGCCCCTGTGACCAGGCTGCCCTGTAGGTCCGTGAGGCCGGAAGCGGAATCCAGCCTACCCCCATGACCCCCACCGCCCTCTAGGTCTGCGACCCCAGAAGTAAAAGTTGCTTGTCCCGCCCGCAACAAAGACAGCGCTGGAGCCGCGTCGTCCAGTCTCGTCCCTTTATTCTTCTGCAGAGCCGGGCTGGGCTGGCGGGGCGGTCACGGGGGTGGTCCCCGCGGGCTCCTCAGGTAGCGGCAGACGCTCTCCTACGGACAGACGAGGGGGAGGCTGTGAGCCCGGCGCGACCTAGCAGCCCTCCCGTGGGTGCCGGGGCCGACGGAGATCCTATGGGAAGGCCCCACACCCCGGCCCTGGCTCCTTGGGCTTCAGCACAAGCCGCTACGCATGAGTACGTCAGGATCTGCCTGGTGCTGGGGGCCGGGCCGGGCCGGGGACTGGGCTGGGCTGGGCTCACAGGGACGTAGGGCTGGAAGGGACCAGACGTGCTCCCGTTCCGCTGCATCAGCAGCTATTGAGTGAGGTAGGGGCAAGGCCTCTGCATCAACCTCCCTGGCCTGAAATGCTGGAGGCCGCAAGTTGGGGGCTATGTTTAGTTCTCTCCCTTTCAGCTTGTGCTCCCTGCCCTTGGGTGAGGTAGACCTGTGGTCTGACCCAGTCAGTGGCAGCTTTTATGGTCCAGAACCACTTCGGCCTGTTTCTCCTTCACTTCTGTGGATAGTTGGTGGGGGAGGCTACAACTCCCAAAATACAAACTAATGTAGAGTGGGGTATTATCATCATATAACACAACAATACTGCTATACTACCAATAATATTTTTATCTGGCTGCTTAATCACTGAATCTCTCTGTAGCTCATTACTCCTTCCCCAAGAAGCACAGGGCTTTCCAGTTAAGTCTGTAGTCGCAGGACTGAAGAAAGGGTTGAGCACTTTCCTGTTTGTGCACTTATATAAACATGAGTTCCTCAAGCACCCAACACTATTAGTATGGGCTATTATAGCAGTAGTGCCTGTCAATGGACTAGCTCCCCTCATCCTCAGAGCTTGTAACGGTCAGTGTTAGGGCTGTTATTGAAAGGCAGGAGCGGCAGCAGCTATGAAATGGGCCACCTCCAGTCATTTTCAATGTTTCCAATAGCAGCCCCTTAAAAGCTGCCTCCCTTTCACCATTTCTGGTACAGGTAGAGGGGAATACAATTCATCTATATCATTGAAAGATGCTGTGCATCTAGGATATTTATACAAATAATAGGAATTTGTTCCAATGTAACAGGCAATAACTTGGGACTGGCATTTAAATAAATACGCACATCCAGTATGCACACAGATGGAATAGATTGTACAAGCATAAAATCTTTTAGCAGACAGTTGTGTGTGACTTACTGGAAATCCACAGGTGCCTTCCTCATGTCCATGGCCAGTGCAGTTTTTTCCTTCGTGCTGTGGGGCAGGATTATTGCACCAACGAGAACGGCTCACCACTCCCAGCCCACAAGAGACAAGACAAGGAGTCCAAGGTGTCCATGGGGACCACATTCCATCAACTGAGATGCAGAGACCAGTATTATTACATGGACATGAACAATTTTAGTCATATTTAAATATGAATGTCAAAAATTTAGGGAAGAGAACTTCAAATAAACTTGTGAAAATCTGTTCATGCATATATGGTGTCTGCCAGTTTTTCATCTGGCACTGTCCTTATTATACATGATTTTATTATTCATAGCCACAGAGAGAGACTACTTGACAATGTACAAATACTTAAAAGGATAGGAACCTTGCTCTGAAAAAAACCAACAAAACCCAACAACTTACAGACCAAGTCAGGTGAATATACAGAGCAGCAGTTCAGATACAAGTAGTCATGGCAACTATGAGAATAGAGATCACCACTAGAATACTTCACAAAAAAGGTTTTAATATGGAGACAGATTTGGCATGTAGGAAAATGCACCCTGTTCTGAGCATCTGAGTGTAAAGAAGATGTGTGTCTATTTGAGCAAGGAAGACCAAAAAAGAGACAGCAGTTAGGAGTGCGAAGGAAGTACAGGATGAAATGAGGGTACTTTTGACACTGCTTTTGCAAAAAGCCTCTCCTGGTCTCACCTGCCACTGGTGAAAGCAGCAGATGTTTTGGTGACATGCTACAGGGCCCAGAGTGGAAGCTGTACCTGGGCATCTTTTGTTGCACAAGGTGATTTCCTCCTTTAACCCAGCACAGGGCAAGCCTCCTTGGGAGGGAGTGGGACTGTTGCACATCCGGATTCTTTTCTTAATCCCAGAGCAGGTGTGTGAACATGCTGACCAAGGTGACCATTCTGACCACTGACTGTTTGCTGCTGAAAGGAAACAAAAGTTTTTCTTACTTCCCTGACCTAGATGACAGGGCTTAGGCCTCATGCCTAACATCCTCCTTGATCCTGAATTCAGAAATCCTGAATTCCTTGATTCTGAATGGGTAGTGATGTGTGTTAGAGTGTTCCTGCATGGCGCGTGCCAAGATTTACTAATGGGTTTTCACATCATTGAGGATAATGGGAAACAGTAAGTCAGGACACGGAAGCCAGGACATCAGGATAAAAGCGGCATGTCATACAAAGGATATTCTGGCTGTGGACAAGTAGATGTAGCAGTTACATCAGTATTAAATTATACTGGTATAAGCTGTTTTGATGTCAGTGTTACCTCCGTTTACTCTTCATAGTTTCAAGGTTCGGAAGGGACCTGAGAAGATCATCTAGTCCAACTTCTGCCATGGCAGGAAAGAGTACTGGGGTCAAACGACCCCAGCAAGGTGTTCATCTAACTTCTTCTTAAAAACCCCCAGGGTAGGAGCCTGCACCACTTCTCTTGGAAGTTGGTTCCAGACCCTAGCTGCCCTGACCGTGAAGT